AAAAAGGTTGAAAAGAAAAGATTTTTAGATGTCTACTCACCCCCTCCCTCTAGACTTCTACCTCACTTGGGACCATCAATTGGTATCAGAGCGGTTGTTCATAGAGTCAGTTTTAACCGGCTTATTTTGAACAAAAGATCAACCACCAATCTCCCAAAACACTTATAGGACAAAGATGGAAAACGCTATGAAGGATACTCTTCAAAGAAGAGACAAGGAAGGAGAAAGCAAGCTATGATCACACATCAAGGAAAGGGACTGCTTCTCAACAAAGAAGAAGAAGTCAAACCTACTATCATGACATCACAATTGTGGCCAACTATACAAAGAAAGATGTTCATGAAGAGGTATATTCAAATACATCTCCAGTAACTCAGTTTATCTTGAATGTTCACACCTTTATCCCAACTATGCTTCACTTCATAGAACATTCAGATAAATTTATTCCTTCCCAAGCTAAAAATCTTGAAACATCAGAAAATCCGAAAATAGCAACAGTACTAAAAGGATAATCTGATGATTGAAGAAAATCTTATGAGGAATAAAAAGTGAGAAATCTCATTATGTTCATTACTAATGAAGATCACTGGATTGACATTGAATATGACTTTATAAAATATGTCCCTAACCCCCAGAAAACCAATACACTTACTGGTCCATCCATTGTCCATATCAACCCAATAAACAAATGGACCAGTAACCAACTATATATTTCCACATCATCATACACCATCCTTACCCTTACTCTCATACCAAAGAACCTATCACACACCCTTCTGGTTGACAACACTTTTAGTCAACCAGTCCACATAGGGATCAACGAAGGTACAGAAGAGATTCAATGATATAAAGGGAGAAGAGAGCAACCAATTTCATGAAACAAAAAAAGATCTAATGATTTTGTTTTCATCAATTAACATGATGATTATAAAGATCAAAATACTATTGTAAGTTTCTTATGGTATCACAAGTGGTGCTACTGCTCTTATAGGAAAGCAAGAATCAACAAGGCAAAAGGATGATGGAAGTATTGAGTGGAATAAAGAGGTCAAGACTGGAAATAAACAAAATGAAATTCTCAGATCATTAATACAACTTATGTTAATGGTTTAAGAATTATCTATTGGGAACACGCCAGTCTATGACAAAAGAAGACATTTTGTTCTCAAGAATGTCATGAAAGATGTGCTCACTGGAAAGAAGAGATTCTCTAGACAGTAAGCTCCAAACTGCTTGCTGAAAAATTACTGACAGAGAATCAGCTGAAAATATCTTCTTCTCCAGCCACCAGGTATAAGTGGATGTATCAGATGATGTTCAATCCCAATCAGAATGACCTTATTCAAAGAAGGACTGAACCAGCATCAACAACATCACACAAAGATTGTTAGGATCATATTACACTAAAGGTAGATTTTGATGATGTCTACAACAGTGAGATTTCAGGTCAACAAAGGATCCTAGCACATCTATTCCTCAAAGCAAGAGCTTAAATGTTGAACAACCTTGAAGAAGGAATATATATGCCAGAAAACACTTAAGGTATTCCTCCTTATCACATAACTCAGGGGGAACTACTCAAAGGTTTTAGGCAAACATTATTACGTTCATCTTGCTTATGAGAAGACTATCACAGATTGAGAGGGGAACTGCTTCACCTCAATAAGAACTTAAGGAATGGACCCAAATTCAAAAGGAGCACCCTACTATTTTGTAGAGTCTTGTTTTTAATAGGAGCATTTTGCAAGTGTTCTATTAAAAATAGGAGCAACCTACTAGATACCAGCGTCCTAATTTAGGAGCACCCTGTTAAAAAGCTAAACGATGCTAATAACAGTATCCTAAGAATGTCCATTTCTAAGTTTACAAGTCAAAAGGACTCAATCATCAAACATAGGGGGAATGTTCAAAAAAAGGCTTCAAGAGGATACGCCCAACCAAAGAATTGAGTATTATTCATATCAAGACTGGTGATGAAAAAGCATTAGCAAACTCTCAAATCATAGGCTGAAACAAGAGCCTACAGGATTTCTGAGCAACAGAGAAATGTTTGCTAAAATGCTATTTAATCTCTCAAGAGTATTCTAGGCTTCAAATGCATCTAATCAACTCCAATTGACCAAATCCAGAAACCAGGTGACTTAACTAACTCTGAGGATCAGGTGGGATTTGTTCAATAAAAACAAATCAATATGACAGAGACCGGTCAACGTTCTGGATAATAGAAGGAGACGTTCAAAAGGAGAATTAGTTATGGTTTACCAGAAACTCTAGAAAGAAGGAAAAGGATGATGTCAGCAGGAAAATCAGCAAAACAGAATTCTTCAGAAATTTTTGGCTACCTGCTGAACCAACAGAAAACCTCAACCTTCTGTTGATGATCGGAATACCTCAAGCAGTTCTGTCAAGGAACAAAACTCCTGGTCAAACAGAAAAGGTTCTGTTGAGACACCAACTCCCAGTTTATTTTATACTTGGAACACCTCAAATGTTTCAGGAAATTTAAGGAAATTATTCTAAGTATGGACTATCTGAAAAATCAAGAAGAACAGATATTGCTCAAGACTGAATGATCAAATCGTTCAAAGAATATCCTGAAATAAAATATGGAGTATTTATCTGAATTCAATCATGCAGAAGGAATTAATCTTGATTACATCAAAAGCATGCTGATATTCGATAAGGTGTTACATTAATGAGCATGAGAGAAGATTATCTTCAATCAAATCAGAGGAAAGGAAGCAAGAAGAATTTATGATTACATGCAAAATCCTACAACGACACATGGTGATCAAGCAGCTGACTCATCATTGAAGAAAGAGTCGAAGCAACCGCATTAATAAGTCAAGTGAGTTTCTCAATATCTCACTCGCTTATCGAAGTTGCTTTTTTCTATGAAAAGAGAGACAGTCGCAAGATCATTAATGAAGAGACGCTTCGGTTGCCACAAGCAAATTGAATGCAGACTAACGCATGCTAACTATAAATATGCTCTTAGCTACACCCAATTCCTCACTCTCAAAAACTCATCATCCTCAAAATATCCTACGAAGTATCATCACAAACTCAAATGGATTTCTCAAAATCATCTCCCCTAAATCTTGAGCTAACACTCGGACCACCAGGTGGAACAACAGAGCCAAGAGACACTCCAGTCCCCAGAGCACAAGAAAATCCTCTCACTAATCAAACATTGCTCGATATCAACAAGGAGAAGGAAGAACTTGATAACGAATACTACAGAGTGCTAAATTGGAGGAACTGGAGAATGACTCCAATAAACATTCATCTCCTAAATGTTGGATTAAAAAGGGAAGAAAAGTTTGCTCTAGGATGGTTAAGGACAAAAGCATTGAGAAAGCCACCTCAATGCAATACATCAACAGAATCCATAACCGCAAACTTGATGAGATCATACATGAAAATGAGAGAAGAAAAAGGAAGGCTACTCAAGGATTTTATCCAGGAGAATCATCTACACACAATGCCTTCCTTGCAAACAAAAGAAGAAATTTTTGAGTGATGCCCAAAAAGGGGGAAAAGAAATGGGCACCTCAAAAGCTCTGAAAAATCTCATTTTTCATGTTTTTGTATAGTTTTTAGACATCATCAAAAAGGGGGAAATTGTTAGGTCCCCTAGATTTTGATAGTCATGTATTAGTTTTGATGATACTAAAAATTATCCCTGTAATAGACTAGCACTTGTATTTGTTCTGCTACTGTTTATTGTAATGTGCTCAAAAGTGATAAAGTACTCAAGAAAAACAGAGAGTACTAAAAAGGGAAGAAATGTACCATAAAACAAAGAGAAAAGAAACAAAAAGAAAAATGTATGAAAAGAGTCAACTGAAGCCCTTTTGAATAGACTAATCGGAAAACCTTCAATGACCTTCTGATCATACTAGAGAACCTCAACTCTGATGGACATCAGAACTGATCAACTCTGGTGAACACCAGAAAAGGGGATCTCTGATATGTGACACTCCAAAAATTTAAATAAAAAATAATAATTTTTATTAGTCAGGTAAAATGTTATGGAAATGACATTTTAATTATTAAGTGAGTCAAACAAAAATTTAACATTTGTGACATGTTTTAGTTTGATAAAAATGGTCTCATAATAGGAGTCACATTTTTATAATAATTATGAAAGTGATGTCATACGCATGACATAAATTATAAAAGTTATTTTAACTATTTTAAATTATGCATCAGATACACAAATACAACTTGATTTTCCTAAATGTTATTATTCTTTTAAAATATAATACCGACAATAGATTACAAACTACTAGTAAAAGATAGGAGTCAAATTAAAGTTACGTACTACTACGTGGGATACATACGGAGCAGGAGTAATGCTAGTAAACGTCGAGCGGAACAAAGAGTTTAAGCCCAAGAGGAGTCTGGCATACTTCACCTATATCTACGGAATGAATCTAGCCTTAACCCCGCACACATGCAGCATCCGAAATTGAAGAAACACCTAACCTACGAACTTATCAAACGAATACAACTCACACTTGTATATTGATTGGATATACTTCAGAGGCAGCCTAAAACCCTCAAACTACACCAATAAATAATAGTTTAGGACCTGCAGATTTTTCCATCTCCAACCCAACACTCAGCGCAGTCATATATACATATACTTGTACATATATATATATATATCTGTTTTCCGTCATTACGGTTAGGACGGCGAAACTCCGGCAAGCGATATCTCTCTCGTTTCACGACCATTTTCTATGATTCTTTCACCGTTGGATTCCTCTCTCGAAGGGGAAGGTTTTAGAAGTGTTTAAACTCTGGTTTTTGGCTAAAACGAAGGTTTATATGCATGAAAAACGTAACCCTTCGTTTTAGCCAAAAACCAGAGTTTAAACACTTCTAAAACCTTCCCCTTCGAGAGAGGAATCCAACGGTGAAAGAATCATAGAAAATGGTCGTGAAACGAGAGAGATATCGCTTGCCGGAGTTTCGCCGTCCTAACCGTAATGACGGAAAACAGAGAAGAAGGAGGAGCTGCCACTGCCGCCAACCAACCACCGATCTTCGCCGTCCCAGAAGGAGTCCTCTAACATCATCGCCCACCCGCCAGACGAGGTAAGCCTCCCCACTGCGTTTAGCCCGTTTCTGGCGATCCTGCGGGGAAGACGACCAATCTTTCCTGCTGAACTTTTTTTCTTTACTTATTGGGCTGGGGATTTATAAATATTTTGGGCTGGACCGAACTCCTTGGGCTGTATAATAATGATGATGATGATGATGATGATGATGATGATGATGATGATGATGATGATAATAATAATAATAATCTGCAAATTTGATAAATTTGAAATTAGAAATATTAATGATGAAATTTGGCTTAGTTGATTGATAGTAATCACTTGGACAAAATTTTTAGTTGTTATTTAGCATAATTACATATTAATAAATGATGAAATAAATTGATGGTGTAGTTAATAAACACTAATAAATGAATATCATATTAAAACAATATTTAGTCATTTGGACTTAGTACCATAATCAGATTAAATAAAGTGGGATAAACATTATTTTCACTAATTATTGGAGTAGTTGAAGTAGATTAATCAATTAACGTAATTATGGACTAGAAAATATTAAGTGTGGGAGTAATTATTAAAATTAGAGTAAGTTGATGACGATTAGTTAATAATTGTTATAATATTCGGATTTACTAATTGTAATAATGTTGATTGAAATAAATTAAGGTAATTATGAAATTGGAATATTGAATACAATTCGGATTTTTTTATGTAATTATTGGGTTAATAATATAGGTGTTAATATTAAAGAGATTTTAACGAACTGAGATTAGTTAATTATTTAATGTCTTTTATTATCGGACTAGATTAAAATTAATAAAGGATTATTGTATTAATTACCGAATTAGTTTAAATAACTTAAATAATATGAGATGGTTATTAAGTACGAACCTATTAGTAATAAACTATAATTGAAGTAATTTGAATATGTTCATAATTCATATATTTTAATAATATTAAAACATAATTAAATATTTGGAAGTTTTATAAGTAGAATAAATTAATAAATTAAAAACTCGGATATTTTAATATTGAGATTGTGATATAGAATTCAAATATTGTAAGTAATGGATGAATTAAAAAGGTGGTTTGATTAATAAAAACTGATTAATTCGAATAATAATTTAATTAAATTAATAAATTCGAATAATAAACTAAAAGGAGGAAATCGGGTAAAATAATTACAAATAGAATAAGTGACTAATTATATCATCTTAAATTAAAAAGGTGCTCATTTAGAGACAGGAATTGAAGAAGAGATTTAGGAGCATTTGGATTTAAGGTAAGTTTCACGTCAACCGAAATTAATTCTTTTTCTTTGTGATTTCTTTTGAGTATTTTTGTGTGCATATTTGAGAATTGAATTTATGTGTGCTAAATTTGAGTGAATATTATATTATACGAAAGGGTTGTATTTGAGATATTAGTTGATATATTGTTTTGTTGATATGAGTTATTGTATATGATTTTGGGAGATTTTGTAATAGTACGTAAATTTCTTATCCTTGTGGAGTTTGACGAAAAGGAAATTTTTGAAGTATGAACTTCGAATGATTTTGAGAAGACAAAGAAGAATAAATATTTTCATAAAGAGTGGGCATCACGGGAGAAATCCGTGGTGTCGATTTTCCACGTCCCTTAAAATGTGGAGGGTGGTTAGGTCTACTACTACTCAATTTTTGTTGGTTTTGGTTTGAGGTGAATTGACGGTCGGTAGAAAACATCCCGGCTTTTGAGTAGTAGTGATAGTAGTAGCTTCTAATCATTCAGTTTTTGAGGTGGGGTAGTTGGTAGAAAACACCTCGGCTACCCGGATCGACTTACTAACCCGGAGGGCTTGGAATACCTTTAGGGGGTGTGCACACTTAAAGTAGTTGTTTCCGTTTCCAAAGAGCAATTGTGGTACCGGCGATAGTTTCGGGGTGGCCGTACATAACAACGGATCACCGGGCTCAACCAGAGTGTTGAGCACCGCCCTTCTAAATTACTAGGAAGTTAGTTACAAAGTGATTTTTGGAGAAATTCAATAGAGGAGAAATTTTGGTGTTTCATGTATTTTGGAATTATTATGATTCACGAGTTATGTGATTGTGATTTTGTATAGATATCGTTTGCTTATGATTTATAAATTGTTTTGAAAATATTTTTATACTAATGATTAGGTGGGACTTACTTAGCATTATTGGTAATGTTTGTTTCTTTTAATTTTCTTTCTGTACATGATTTTTGTACAGGTGTTGAGTTGATCGATGTTGAAGTTGATTTCGAGAGAGAACTTTCGCTAGAAAACATTATTAGTAAATCATTGTAAATTTCTTTTTCAATAACTTTAATCAGTGAGCTTTTGATTTTGAAGTTTAAGTTGTTTTAGCCTGTGCACTCGGTTAAGAGAGAACCGGGTGTGGCGGTAGCACCCCTATTTCCCTTTAAATTTTCCGCTGCACATTTTCTAATGTTTTCAAATAAAGTTAGTATTACTTTCCAATAAATTATTATTTAAATGTATTTTTGGGTGGGAAATTTGGGGGTGTTACATGATATATACCAGAAAACCTTCTGTTATGATCGTAACAGAGAACCTCAAACACAGGTGGTTCTCTGTTGACACCAGAACAGAAGACCTCATAGGTATTCTGATAAGGTATTATGTTGAGGTGTTCTGATAAGGTATTCTGATAAGGTATTCTGTTGAGGTATTCTGATCGGAATCTCAACATCTGCTATTCTTCTCTTAGCACAGAAACAAGAAGACAGAAGACCAACTTGCAGTCAGAATGACAGAAAGCATAAATAATGTTACAAGAAATTATGTGACAAAATTTCTTATAACAGTATTTATTAAAAGCAAGTAATCCTATCTTGAGGAAAAGCATTGAACAACACTCGACCTAGATACTGAATTTCTGTAAGCTAAAAAGATAAAGATAAATCATCTTATCTTTGCCTCGAAATGATGAATCAAGTTGAGTGAAGATGAAATGATCCGTGTCACAAGAAGACAAGAATCAACCATGCTGCCCAGTCAAGTGGAACAAAGCAAGTATATCAAGCAACGATCAAGATTGGATCACTCAGTCAACAGAGGAGATTCAACAACAAAGTCTATAAATACAGAAGAAGTGTGGGAAGACCAAGTGTGGCACCAGATGGCAACAAACCCTGGTATATTGGAACTCAGTGGAACAGAAGGGAATCAAGGTTTACAAGTAAACATCCAGCTAGCTGATTCACCTTCACCACTCTGGTTACCACCCCACTCATCTAATGCTCTTAGAATAGCTTATCATTCATACACATCTATAGAGCTTAGATTAGTTGGTAGATTAGTTTAAACCCATGTAAACTAGTCTAGTGTATTCATTCTGGGATGTGTGTGATCATCCAGAAGGTGAGGCAAGGACATGAGTAGCTTCTGGCTGGGCAAGCCATTAGTGAAAAACCTTGGAGGACATGAGTAGCTTGGAACAGTGTGGTTCCTCGTGAAAAACCTCACAATCTATGCCTGGGCAAGGGGAAGATTGGGCACTAAATGTAATGGGATATTCATTTAGTGGAAAATCCATCTGAAATAGGTTTGGACTGGATGTAGTAGGATTACACCACCTCTGAACCAGGATATATCTTGTGTACCTTTTATATTCAGCACCCAACACATACTTCACTTCTCATTCACCTTCATACTATCCCAAAGGCTTGCATATTCACTGACCAGAAAAGTCCCTAAAGTTTTCTGAGAACCAAAACTCCTTACCTACGCACTACAAAGAGATCTATGACAATAGGTCTAAATCCTTCAAACAAAAGTGTTTTGTCCACCCATCCGTGTTACAACAAAAAGGTTCATAACCTATGTTCCTATAAAGTGTCACACTCTTGAGGTCAAGACTTCCGCTGTATGTTTCAATATCTCCCAAAAGATATTGGAACACATTCTGGTTAGAGGAAAAAGGGTTGAAAAGAAAAGATTTTTAGAAGTCTATTCACCCCCCCCCCCCTAGACTTCTACCTCACTTGGGACCATCATTAACCAAACCGCGCAGGCTCCGGCCGTTTCCCCTCTGCTTGCGCTGACTGTCCAGGTTTCTTTTCGGACCGTTTCTCTGAATTATGCTCTTATGCTCATCTCCTTCCACACTAATACCCACATTATTGTTGTATTGAATTCCTTATCATTGCTCGACTCAGTTGTGGATGATGTAATGTCTGCAATCTCCAGCCCTCTGACCTTCAGCAGGTATAAATGTGTTTCTGCCCAGCCTTGGAAAAAATTCTGCGCTTCCACCCTTCGTTTGCACTGTAAGCATACCCTCTCTGTAACGCCCCACCCGGACCGACCAGCCGACCCGAGCGGCGCATCACTTGGAGGAAAATCAGAACGGATTTAATCAAAAATACTTTTCGTGATTCAAGAAAATAATGCCCTTTTTTTACTTTAAACACAAAACATTTAATAAGAGATTTTAGTACTTAAAATAAATCGTATTAATTCCAAAACGACTTCATTACTAAATACTAGAAAATGTGCAGGGGAAGTTCTTAAAATCACATATGACATATTAAAGTCCTTTATTAAAAACACCAAATAACATGGCATTCAAATGCGTCCTACGCCTCTTTCCATCCATGTGCTCCTAGCGGGTTCCGTGCTCAACCTACGGGTAGGAAAACACACAACTACCCGCTCAACAATGTGTTGAGTGGTACGGTAATAACATAACAGTAATATTAACATATCAAAGAACATATTAACATATCATAATTCACATCTGATCAGACAAACATATAACATACCTAGGTGAACCAAGCATCTGTTATAAAAATACATATATTTACATACAGAATAGAATCATACTCGGATATCCTAAATGTCAGATAATTGTATTCTGAGATAATTATTATATTCTTCTTGTGTACAGAACAGAAGCATATTCAGATATCATAATTATCAGATAATTCTTATTCTGAAACTTATCATTGAAAAATACATATTCATTTAGCCTTGAACTCTAGAATCTGGACCTAGACCGAGGAATACTAACGGTAAGGAGTACGGTCGATCGAAGTTCGTACCCACATTACCCTGAAGGAATATGGAAACGTAATCGCTGGAGCTACACGTACCAATCCCCGACAGAAGCTAGCTGAACAGAAAGGACGGGATCACCGAAGAGACCCGAACCTTAACAGGAGAGTAATAGGGTAGTGCTCTAAAAATTATTTCAGGAGTGTACGAAGTACACTAAACAGAACAGGAGTGTACGTAGTACACTAAACAGGAGAGCACTATTTCCTCTAAACTGCATTTCAGGAGTATACATAGTACACTAAATAGAACATGAGTATCCTAGTCAGAGTACCGGATCAAGAGTAAGGCTTTTCATATAATGGTGTTTACGTTTATTTTAATTTCAAATAAGTACTCATATATATATAAATGGTTTTCAAATATGTAACCTTACAAAAATGACTTATAAAATATACAAATGTAAATAACAAATTAACGATCAGAAGAGTACACTTAATATTCTGTTTTTATCAATTTATCTTCATATTCTGTTTTTATGAATAAATAACGTAAATGTATATCTTGTGGTCTAAAATGTCAATCCATTCTTAAAACCACAACAGTCCTCATTCCTAAAACCCCTTCACCCAAAACGTTCACTCAGTATCGACATAGCAGTTTAACCAACTTCATCAATAAGGTTTGCACAAGGATTATCACTACTCGCTTAATACCTATATTACCTAGGTTCATTTCTAAAGAGCAAATTGGTTTTATGGAGGGGGAGCTAAAGAAATACTACATCATCTGGACAAAAAGGTCTGGGGCACAACATAGCAGTCAAACTTGACCTTGCACAGGCGTTTGACAGGGTATCATGGGAATTCCTGGAGGGGGCTCAGAATAAAATTGGTCTTTAACGCCCAGGCAACTCATTTAATTATGAGCAACCTTTCATCCACTCACATCTCCATCCTTATCAATGGCCAACCCCATGGCTACTTTCGGCCACAGAGGGGGGTCATACAAGGTAACCCCCTATCGCCCTACCTTTTCCTTATAATTAGTGAATGTTTCTCAAGGGGATTCAAAGAGTTAATCAACAACAACAACACATCTTATCATATTGGGGGAGGGGTTTCAACAGTTTCACAACTCGCATTTACTGATGATGTAGTGTTATTCATGAACGGGGGAGCTTCCTTTCTCAAAAGGCTGAAAGGCCTGCTGTCAAGCCACGTCAAGGCAACAGGGCCGATGATAAACCTACAAAAAAGCAGGGTGGTGGTCAGCAAGAATCACAAAATGGTTGACAGAAGGAGAATTGAGAAGCTCACTGAAATGACAACGCTTACCTTACCTATCAGGTATCTTGGTGCTTCCATTCATCAGGACATAACCAGGCCGCAAAATTGCACCCAGCTTGTGCAACGCATAGAGGAGAAATTGAGTTCCTGGAAAGAAAAGATTCTGAATCAAAACGGGAGGCTAATCCTTATAAGACGTGTCCTTACAGCCATACCACTTCATCACATGGCTACTACAACCATACCAAAAAAGATGGTCAAAATCCTTCACAGGCATATGGTTGATTTTTTTTGGGGTCACAAAAATAACATGAAAAACTACCACTCGAGCAGCTGGAAAAAAATCTGTAGGCCAGGACCCGAGTGAGGACTACAAATAAGATCCATATCAGATATTCAAGAAGCTCTCAACTTAAAGAACCTATGGACACTAAGACAAGGTCGATCTCTCTGGGCTAAATTCATGAATGACAGATATCAAAGGTCGGGCAACATGCAATACAAAGCCAAAGACTCACCTATTTGGAAACAACTGTGCAGGACTAATGACAAAAATCATGACGCTATTGAGGTTCAAGGTAATCAGTTAACCTCGAAGCCCTCCCCAGATGATATTTTCACCCTAACCAGCGCATACCATCAAGTAAGAAACATCTACCCATCCACTTTCATCCTAAAAAACATTTGGACCCCCAAACAACAACTCAAAATCAAAATCTTCCTCTGGAGATACAACACTTATACCCTTCCCTTCCCTGAAAATTTGGGGCGTTTTAACATCCAGTTGGCAACACGCTGCCCCTTATGCCTCTCGGCGGAGGAGTCAACAAACCACTGCATGTACATCTGCCCTCTAATACATCTGACGAGCACTTTGTCACAGTGCGTCAAAATAATTTCAATACTAAACACTTATACGTAGTATAGCGTAGTAGAGTTCGTATCCACAAGGAAAGGAATAATTCTCTTTTTATAAAACTTAGTAAATAAAGGGGGGATTTGGATTGAGTGATTTAATTTAATTAAAAACTAAGATGAACGACCTATATGAGATTTAAGTCAAAGATAAAAAGGACTTGGCATTGCTACTTTCCACTTGTTGATATATTTTAGTCGATCATTGTTATATCTATAACTTATTTCCTCTCGAATACTCAATCGGGGAGTATATCCACTTCATTGAGGGTAGTTATTAACAACGACCGTTCATTAATAACCCTTACTATTAATCAAATATAGAACAACGCCTTATACCGATTTAATAGTAGCATTTAATCTTTCTAATTCCTTGATGAAATCAATTGAGATTGGTAACCTCGACACAAGCGCTTTCGGTTTAACCAACAAAATTAATCCCTCTTAAGTTTATTAACCACGACCGTGCATTAATAAACCGAAGTTACTTACTTGTGAAACCATCAACGATTAACCATCGGTTCGTTGATCGTTTCTAGTAATAATTAATATATGAAACAAAACTAGTTGATCCTTTAAGTAATGTTCAAAATATGAATATGAAATAAGAGTAGGGATTAATTAATATTCAAGGAAGAATATTATTAAAGAAGATGAATCCTACTATAATTAATATCAAGATGTTAACTAATTGTCATCTTAGCAACACTCCCCAACATTAATATAGAGGAAGAAAATACAATTCTAACTAATGTCGAGATGTTAACTAATTGTCATCTTAGCAACACTCCCCAACATTAATATAGAGATGGCATTAAGGAAAGAACTATTAATTAATATTCAAGGCAAGAAGTTAAGAAAATAACTCACAACTTCAATAATCAACAAGCTTCAAGAGCAACACCAAGAATGGAAGTTTAGCTCCTCATTTGGAGACTAAACATAGCTAGAAAAATATAAAGAAATGCTATTCTAAATTGAGCTTAAGAGTATGGAAGAAGGGATTATTTTTAGAGAAGAAAAGTGTGCTATTTATAGGTGTTTTTCAACACCTTTGGCCGGGTAACCGACCGGGTCAAGTACTTACCCGACCGGGTCCGGTCAAAATAAGATAATTCGCCACGTTCTAGTGATCTTCGCACGTCGTTTTGTCCCGGGTCACATCTGACCCGACCGGGTCAAGTAGGGGACCCGACCGGGTCCAGTGACTTTCTTGACAATTTCGTCTGTTAAATCCTACCCGACCGGGTGGAGGTTTCTACCCGGTCGGGTTTCACTCCTGGGCAGTCAAATTTCTTGTCTTCTTCTCTTCAAAGTCTTCCTTTCCAAGACCACAAATCCTAACTATACTTTACAACTTATAAATAAAGAATAAAATACAATTACAACTGAAAGCACATAAATGTTTACAACCTAAATAAAATGTCAAACAATCAACATAAATCAAACATAAAAACATGCAATTATGCACTACTAATTAGTGTGCATCAAACACCCCCACACTTAAACCTTTACTCGTCTCGAGTAAATCAAATCCGGTCCAAGAAGTCCTTAAAATGACAAGAATATCAACACACACATCCACGAGTGTTTTTAGAAACACATAAAGTATATCCCCAAAAATATAATAGTAAAGAGGGTCTTCAACTCCATATTTCTTTATCAACCTCAACCCTCTTTTTTTTTCGTTACCGTTAGGATCCTGCAGAAATAAAAGAAAATACTTTCTCTCGTTCTCTCATTTTGCCTAGGTGCCCTTTCGGGTTTTCATTCCAGCTTCCCACATTTTTCTGTTTTAATCCTCACAACTCACTCTTATTTTTGCTTTATTTTTGCTTAAGTTGCCCTTTCGGGTTTTCAACTTAACAAGCTTTTATAATTTTTTTTTTAATTTTTTTTACAAGAATAAAGAGTATGAATGTGAGTATTCCATAAAACTCTCCCCCCAAGCTAATCAAAGCACTGTCTCTAGTGCTTGTGTCTGAGATGAATGTGTTTTTTTTGTTACTTTTTGGGAGGTTTTGTTGGTGATTCGTGGGTGTGGAGATGAAAAGGGTGAAGAGGAGATGAATGAAATGGGTTTAATTGGTGAGTGGATGTAGGAGATATGAAGCTTTTAACTTTTGAAAATGGAGAAAATTTGGGGTGTGGTTCGAAAGGGAAGACAAAGGGGGCGATTCGTTTTTTTTTTTTTTTTTGAGAAATGGCCTGGTTTTCAAAAAATTGAGATACCCGGCCGGGTGGGGTAGTGTACCCGGTCGGGCATAAACTGTTCACCCGAGGCAGAATGCTTTTGCTGGATTGCTCGGCCGGGAATAGGGGTCTACCCGGTCGGGTGTTTGGTTTATTCTTGTTCCGCTCTTGCCTCGCCCGGGTGGTTGGACGGGTGTATTGTTTTTAGAGGTAACCCGACCAGGTAGGGTTTTATACCCGGCCGGGTTCAATCCCAAGTCATTTTTTTTGTTTTGAAATGTGTAAAAATAAAATAAAACAAATAAACGTACCTTGCATGGGTTGCCTCCCAAGAAGCGCCTTGTTTAACGTCGCGGCACGACGCTATTTTCTCTACTTCAATCTTTCGTGTTTGGGTCATGATGACCCGTCCTCTGCACATTTCTACCCTGGTGACTCTTATAGAAGAGCTCAATTCTCCGACCACCCATTTTGACAATCTTTCCAGGATCAAATATCCAGATTCCCATTGCTTTATGTTGTGAGAGCGAGGGAAAATTTGTACCGATTAGCATGGTCAATGGAAAGGGTTTTGATCTTGGTGGCATGAGAGGGGGTATCAAATGTTTACTTAACTCCACTGTCATTTCCCGCATATTTGTGAATGAAAAGAAATCCAAATGATACTCTCTCGGTTTATTCGCAACCGCGACAAGTACATTTGAATTACCCTCGTCTTCGCTGAGGATTTCGTCTCTGTCCTTCTCTACCCTTTGTGTTTCCCTTAGAGCCTCAGGAAATGGTGGCATGATCTCAAGAATGGCCGGTGATGGAGTTGAGTTTTGAGGTTCTTCCTCCTCCGGTTGAGTTTTTTCTGCAGGATCCTCTTCTTCCTCCTCCTCGCGGATGTAGTTCACAACGCTTGGCATTTGCTTTATTTGATTCTCCAAGTTCGATTCGTTGGGCACTGTTTCTTGCGGGCATTGTGACATAGCTCTTTGCATACTCATCACGTTGATAGTGAGGGATCGGACCATGTATTCAGTGGACATGCTAGAATAAAAATTCACGTACATGTGATCTCCCCTCGGTACATTATGTGTGTCGGAGAAACGATCATATTTCCTTTGATAACCAACATCATCAGCTTGTTGAAAGTATTCTTCCTGGAGCTTCGGACAAAAATCCGTAATATGCCTGTGAGACATGCAAATATTGCATGTCTTGGCATCTTGAGTTTCTGAGCTTAAGATAAACTCCTTTATGAGAGAAGCCAAAATGGAAATTTGACTCTCTAAGGATGATGTGTTGGTATCCATATACTCATGTAAGCTCAGAAAATAGATTTTTTTTTAATTTTTTTATATATATATTTTTTGTTTTTATGAGATAAAATAAAAATAAAAATAATTGCCTTTCCCCGGCAACGGCGCCAAATTTGACGAGCACTTTGTCACGGTGCGTCAAAATAATTTCAATACTAAACACTTATACGTAGTATAGCGTAGTAGAGTTCGTATCCACAGGGAAAGGAATAATTCTCTTTTTATGAAACTTAGTAAATAAAGGGGGGATTTGGATTGAGTGATTTAATTTAATTAAAAACTAAGATGAACGACCTATATGAGATTTAAGTCAAAGATAAAAAGGACTTGGCATTGCTACTTTCCACTTGTTGATATATTTTAGTCGATCATTGTTATATCTATAACTTATTTCCTCTCGAATACTCAATCGGGGAGTATATCCACTTCATTGAGGGTAGTTATTAACAACGACCGTTCATTAATAACCCTTACTATTAATCAAATATAGAACAACGCCTTATACCGATTTAATAGTAGCATTTAATCTTTCTAATTCCTTGATGAAATCAATTGAGATTGGTAACCTCGACACAAGCGGTTTCGGTTTAACCAACAAAATTAATCCCTCTTAAGTTTATTAACCACGACCGTGCATTAATAAACCGAAGTTACTTACTTGTGAAACCATCAACGATTAACCATCGGTTCGTTGATCGTTTCTAGTAATAATTAATATATGAAACAAAACTAGTTGATCCTTTAAGTAATGTTCAAAATATTAATATGAAATAAGAGTAGGGATTAATTAATATTCAAGGAAGAATATTATTAAAGAAGATGAATCCTACTATAATTAATATCAAGATGTTAACTAATTGTCATCTTAGCAACACTCCCCAACATTAATATAGAGGAAGAAAATACCATTCTAACTAATGTCGAGATGTTAACTAATTGTCATCTTAGCAACACTCCCCAACATTAATATAGAGATGGCATTAAGGAAAGAACTATTAATTAATATTCAAGGCAAGAAGTTAAGAAAATAACTCACAACTTTAATAATCAACAAGCTTCAAGAGCAACACCAAGAATGGAAGTTTAGCTCCTCATTTGGAGACTAAACATAGCTAGAAAAATATAAAGAAATGCTATTCTAAACTGAGCTTAAGAGTATGGAAGAAGGGATTATTTTTAGAGAAGAAAAGTGTGCTATTTATAGGTGTTTTTCAACACCTTTGGCCGGGTACCCGACCGGGTCAAGTACTTACCCGACCGGGTCCGGTCAAAATAAGATAATTCGCCACGTTCTGGTGATCTTCGCACGTCGTTTTGTCCCGGGTCACATATGACCCGACCGGGTCAAGTAGGGGACCCGACCGGGTCCAGTGACTTTCTTGGCAATTTCGTCTGTTAAATCCTACCCGACCGGGTGGGGGTTTCTACCCGGTCGGGTTTCACTCCTGGGCAGTCAAATTTCTTGTTTTCTTCTCTTCAAAGTCTTCCTTTCCAAGACCACAAATCCTAACTATACTTTACAACTTATAAATAAAGAATAAAATACAATTACAACTGAAAGTACATAAATGTTTACAACGTAATGAAAATGTCAAACAATCAACATAAATCAAACATAAAAACATGCAATTATGCACTACTAATTAGTGTGCATCAACATCCTATTTGAAAATACTTTTCTAACATTTTGCAGGTACATTCCACAAATGAACAAGACCTACGACAAAACCTTTTCAAATGGTGGTTGGGAGAGGAAAGAAACACGACCAAAGGAGCTCTAAGGGAAGTTGTCCCATGAATTATCATGTGGTTTGTATGGAAAGGCTACAATCACACAATTTGGGACAACAAACCTTTCTCAACAAAGCAGACCACAACAAAAATCAAGAAATACATATTCCAATGGTGCACAGTCAAATCAAAGACCAAATACATACATTTTGAAAAGAACTATTCACACAACAACTTATGCCTTACATCAAAACAAAAAAAAAACAAAACAGGAAGGTCAATGGAACATCACCTCTCAAGTAAGCTTATGTCTCTATGTACTTAGAAACCAAATCGGAATCTTCCTAGCAGCATTCTCATTCCTTTTAAAGGTCAAATCTTCACTCCATGCAGAAATACAAGCATTACTCACCTCAGTAAAAACAGCAACAGAAATGGGTTATGCGGAATTTGAGGTCCAAACAGATTCAGAAATAACCGTACAAGCAACACAAGGAAGAAAGAAAATACCTGCAGAATACCAAGACGAAATCCCAAGAATCAGGCACCTGCGAGACAGCTTCCGGCTAAGGATCACCCACAACTACAGGGAACAAAACCGAACAGCTCACGAACAAGAACAAGATGGATTAAACAGAATCGGAATAATGTTCCACCCAACCCAAAATCTGCCGCTTTCAGTACTGTCGGCTTACCAAGACGACCTCAAAGGAAGGACTCGATTATGTGATGCTGGCTAAACGACCTACAAATTACATGAGAGCGTATCAAAGAATAAGGTGATTTGGAGGTCATCTTCTAGGGGTGCACCTTTCGGTATTTATCTTTTAATTTTTTTGCGGGCACTTTTGAAAATTGGAGTTACTTTTAACCGTTTTTCTTAGACGTTTTTAACGGCGTGACCCTCTTGTGATAACGGAATTCAAACACATGACCACTTTGATAAAGAATGAAACACATGACCCTATCTGAAAACGGGCTCAACCACAAGTAGTTTTCCGTGTTTTTTCCAATTTCAATTGGCTCCAAACTAATAGCCCGTTTGGTAACATTGAAATCGACTGAATCGGCAGTTTTTGCTGATATTTATGAAGTTCTCACTGAAATGATTGTATTGGCCGATTCTACTGATTTAGGAAAAAATTATATTAAAAAATAACTAAATGGTCCTCTACAATAACTTCAGCCAATACAGGTAGAAAAGTAATTCCAATCTTACTTTTTCTTATTATTACACAATTCAACGCGCGAAATCAAAAGTTACGTGTTTAGTGAAAAAGTTGATTGATAACCTATTCTCTCCATGATTATCAACTTAATAAAATACGATCGATACCTTGTCATTCAAACAAAATATTATAATAAGTTATTCACGAATTGCCCTAAATAGGAGTAAACAATATTTGAAATTCCAAAATAAGATCACTATGATTTTCTTTCCAAAATAAGAGTTGCTAATGTCAAGATTGAAAAAATATCGTCATTAATTATAATAAATATTATCATGTCAAATGTATAGCACTACAACTTTTCGACAGTTATATATGATTATAAGATGTCAATAAACACTACCATGTAAGTGTTGCCGATTTTAGAATTGTAAAACATGATTACTTCTGTTTTGCATCTTAATGTTGTAGCCTACTAATGTACTACTACCTTCCTACCAAATTAATTTGTAGTCAATTATTTCTAAATAGTTTCATTTTATTAACTTAATTATGATATTGATTTTTAATTATATTTTTATTTGAATTTTGCAGTTTTATAGAGATTTTAATGCAGTTCCCAAATATGTAAATTTTAATTACTAAATTTGAAGTAGTTATCGTCTTATCGATCGAGAAGCTAAGATTTAATTTTAACATTAGTTAATAAAAAAACATTGACTATATGAATCAATTAAGAAACTTTACACATCTTGTGTATACTCTTAATTTCATAAATCACTCATACTCTTGTTTAGGTAGGGGTGGACCCGAGCCGGGCCGGTTCCGGTTCGGGCCTGGGCCCGGCCGGGCTTTATTTGGAAATGGTGGAACCGGAACCGGCCCGGGTAGCCGACGGTTCCGGACCGGGCCAGTTCCGGTTCGAGCCTATTTTTTGTATTTTCTTTTGATTTTCTAAATAACACCCCCCCCCCCCCCCGCCCCGCAAACTCCCAGCCTAACCCGATAGAGACAAAAAAAATGAAGAAACAAAAAAAAATTGAAAAAACAAAAAATAAAATAAATTGGGCCCGACCAGGCCGGTTCGCGTTTTAGGGGGCCCGAGCCCGAATCTGGATATGAGCGGTTCCAGGTGGCCCGAACCCGTCATTTTTATTTTAGTGCTGAAAATTCGCGCGTCTCTGTGGATCGACCCCGATTCACTCTGGGTTACTTTTATTACATCAGTCTTGTACATTTGCAAGAAAAATAACGATCACCCGGTCCGAGGGGGTAGGGGGCGGTTCTGATGCACGAAAAAGACGAACCGGCTTGGCCGGTTCGAGACTCCTTGTTTTTTGGTTTGGCCTGGGTTTAGGTGGGCTAGGCTGGGTGATTCCGAGGGGTTGGGAAAAGTGATGGATTCAGGTCGGGCCACTCGGCCTGACCCACTACTGTGCGGGACCAAGACCGGCCCGGTTCTCGGATCCGGGTAAGGCCTAGGCCCGGAGGGTGCGGGTGACTAGGGGTGGACTCGGGCCGGGCCAACCGGCCCGCCACTGTGCGGGCCCAGACCGGCCCGGGAACCGGTTCGTTGGGCGGTTCGGGCCACCCGGCCCGATGGATTCTCGGTTCGGGCTCGGGCCCTTCTAAAGGTGAACCGGCCCAGCCGGTTCGGGCCCGGGCCGGGCCAATTTTAATTTTTTTTTTGAATTTTTTTTGAGTTTTTGGGTTGGGCTGGTTATTTTGGGCCATTTGAGGTGGTTAGGGTTGATTTGGGAGTGAGGGAGAGGGGTGGGGGTTAACTAGGAAAAGCCCCAAAAAAAAAATACCCGAGGCCCGACCCGGACCCGGGGTTTACCCAGACCGGTTCCGAGCCTCCCCTTCTTGAACCGAGGCCCGGCCGGGCCCGAATCGACCCGAGTCCACTCCTACGGGTGACACAAGCGATGGCTACAAAGACACACACTATGGTGACAATGATATCGACAATGACATTTGATAGTGACAATAAAATTGAATAGTTGCATTAGGATCTAAAAATGACATGAATATAAGTTATATAACCTCTTTAATCACATTTTTGTCCAAATTTGAAATGATCACGTTTTTTGAAATTAACTCTCATTTAGTAATATACTAATATTCAGGGAATAACCCCATATTTCAATATCCACAACTTTCTTTAATAATTTCTACACTACTCATATACCTTACATTACCCACTATTTTATTAATACATGATCAAATTACTATGTAGAATTGTTATTAAGCTCTGTTCAATTTGATTTTGTAAACTATAATTTTTTTAATAATCTTTACCACTCTAATACGATAGTACATAATTACATATAATTAAAGTCAAATTCGTGCATTGTCAAACATGAATGTCAAAGTGTTCTATATTTCAAAGTATAGAAATGCAAAAAATAGTACTGTAGATGCCATAAAAATGTGACGTTGCACGTGCTACACACTAAATAAAAGATAGACACAAACAAACTTTAGAGTTTAGATACTAGAGTACTTGCCCCCTATTGTTCAACTAGACATCAGACAACTAGAATTAGCATTGTCCTATTTGGCATTAGTTTAGCAACGTGAAATCACAAAGCAGGAGTCTTTTTTAAATTAATTTCCGCATGGAGTCTTTTTGAAATAAAGTATGTCACGCCCCTTCAATATGACTACGATATAGGCCAGATCCGTATCCTTATCAAGCTTCATAGCATTTTGCTCCTTACTCCTAATCTGCAACGGACAAATATAAGAAACTGAAATTTTATTAGCCTGCTCAAAATTGTTGCGGGTTTACAATTTTCTTTTTACAAAATAATGTATTCAAGGTAATTTACAAAAATAGGGGTAAAAATAATGTAAAATTCTAATTATTACGCTTTTCCCTGAAAGAAATAAATTCCGATAATCTTGAAATCATATTAAACTTTGACATTATCATACATTAATATTACAGTAATAATGCCATAATTAACGGTATTTTCTAATGATGGCCGTTATTACTACTTGTTCACAGTCTTGCTCAAATTTAGGGCTTAATTAGCTTAATTTTATTTACTCCAATAACTATATTTTTGCTGCTTGTTCACCAAAAGAGCACAAATCTACTATTTCCAGTTTTTCAGAATTTCATATTCAGGTCTATATAAAATAGAAGTTGATACCAAATAAGGCCAAAACTAACTAATATTTTTAAGGGGTGTCCAGCGATGATAACTTTAAATATTCTTAAAAGGCATAATGTAATGAAGCAATAATAATAATGGAAAAAAACATGAACTGACGTAGGCACGTAGCTGCTTCCATATGAAGAGCACAAAGTAGCAGGAACTACTATATTAATTATATAGATGAACTTAATGAGAAATGAAAGACAAATAGCAAACTTTGTCATGTTTGAATTGAATTGAAGAATTGCCCAATGAATAAACATGGTGGATAGTATTAGCATTGTTACTATGGTGTATATCAATATCAGTTTGTAACTGTTTCCTATTCCGTACTTCTTGTCTTCCATTCAAAGGTTCTCACTATCCTTTTTTGGACATTCCAACTGAAGGTTCCCATTTTCAATTTTAGAAAACTATTAACACTCTTAAATAACAATTTAACCATCAAATATTAAGATAATATTATCTATAACATCATAGTTATCATCAAAACTATTTCTCAAGATACACTTGAAGAAGCAGATCATTTTTTTCTATCTAGGGAGAAAAAGGTTAGTGCTTTCAAGGCAACATAATTTATCACAACAATGGACGATTGTAGTGTATCATACCTTTTCAAATAGATCAATATACTCTGCCGAATCTTCACGATAGTTATCAGCTAGCACATTCTTCAAACCCTGGTCATTGAAAATAATAAGATGCATTAGGAAAACACTTTCAAGACTAAATTTCTAAGACAGAAATGATACATAAAAAACAGAAGTCTTTAGTACAACATAAAATCATACTACGTATTAAAATAACTACAAGAGCAATACCTCGACATCACCACAATCATTGGTCAAGTAATGAAGACATTGAACACTCTCTTCTGTCAAGTCAACTTCAGCTAATGTCTCCTTTTCACCTCTAAGAGAAAATAATATTGAAAACAACAGAGTCACATCCTTATCACTCCAGTACCCGAATAGAATACTCAAGGCTTTCCTTCAAAAGCAAAACATAAAGTAATGATCAATAAAGAGAATGGATGTCCAAATGGATAAAGTGCAGCTGCAACTCGTAAAATGTGCAATTCAAAATTGAAAATTGAGAAAGAACACCGGTTCAAGGGCATAGTTTCCAACGCATATGTAAGTCATTAATTCAAGTACCAAAAGGTTCCAACATGTGTTTCAACACATCCACTTTGTGCATTAAGATAAAAAGCTAGCAAAAGCATTAGACTATTTTGATTAGATCTTTTGTCAGTAGCATCTGTACTTCTCCATAGTGTCCAGAAAACAAAGCTGGTTCAAACATTTTTGTCTACAAAGAAGAATCCACATAGGTCAAACGAATGTTACAAAGAAGAATCCACATAGGTGCCAACCTGGCGGCAAGTCGCTCCATACGCAATATTATTATTTGGGAATGTTCCCGAAATAGGACTAAAACAGTTTCAAAATTCCAAAGTAGGACTGTCATGTTTTTTATTCCCAAGATAGGACTAATTACCGCCATGTTTAAAAAATACTGCCATGTTTGAAGTCTGGTACTGCCAAAACATGGCAGTAATTAGTCCTATTTTGGGAATAAAAATATGGCAGTCCTATTTTGGAATTTTCAAACTGTTTTAGTCCTATTTTGGGTAATATCTCTTATTATTATTATTATAATTACTATATACATATGTAATGAATTAATATATTAAAAATAAATAAATAAAATTAAAAAATAAAATTAGGAAATAAATTAAAGGTATAATAGATGAGAAAATATCTGACAATTTAATCATTTATCTGCAACAAATGTCCAATATAAATTTCCACAAAGGTAATAATCTGCCAACATTTATCTGCAATAATTTGCAGCAGACATTTATTCAAAGGGATGGAAATAAAATACTAGATGGACTCCAGCTGTGTATAAAAAGTGTCCAGTAAGAAACCCCTACTCCGTATAACACGGGCTAAAGATTAAAAGATAAGTTCAGACAAACAAAGTAGAATAAACCAAAGGACGGCAGTGACTAACAAAATCAGGAACAAGCGAGAGATGGAGCCAGACTGGCGGCGTCAACCAGCAGCAGTACCAGAGGTGATGACCTGGCCGACGGGTTGCAGGGCCTAGGGTTCGGCTTGACGTGTCAGTCAGTAAATACTGGACCTGGGTGTCGCCATGACGACTTCCAGATGTCTAATCAACACCAAGTTACGTCTTGAAAGCAGTTACGTCTTGGCAGCTTCACCCGAGTCGGTTGATCACGGCGTCACTCCTCCGCCACAAGGACTACTAGTCGGCACATACGCGACGCCGTAACAACTATGGCAATGTTTAATTAATCCAAAGTATATGCTCCAACTTAGGGAGAGTTGTGCGCTTGTATGACATGAAAAATGAAAAGCATACATTGACTGATTGACCAAACATGACTATTTTGGGAGTAGTATTAGTTTGTCAATACACCAACATAATGAATCTGTGAACCTAATAAACTAACAGTTGCACTAAACCACATTTCTTGCTTGCTAAGAGACATAGATCTACCACATAACAAATCATGCGTCTCATGGAGTACACAAACCTCATCTTATTAACAGGATCACTCTCAACAACCGACCCCAGCAAAGGATCTTTATTTATGCGAATCATTCGTTCCTGACATCGTAAAAGCTGTGCTCCTTTTGAATACTTGTGAAAAACATTGACTAGGGGGGCTGACTGTTAAACAAAATGGTTAATCATTAATTAAGTGATTATTGGTGCAGAAATTGACATGATAGCAGAATACCTCCTTCAATGCCTTAATCAGCTGCAGGATAATGACAGGCTCAAACCAAAACGCCATTGCTGAACACCTATGTCTTTCAATATACTTGAAATAGTGAGCATACTTTACCGGAACATCATCCTTAAGAGATGCTAGGAATTCTTCCGCCCAGGTGACTGCTTTTGGAACCTTTGTTAGTTGGTCAGCCAATTTGCTAATGGATTCATCCTACATGAGTTAACTTATAAGCTTAATCAAACAAAAAAAATGTTTCAATAACTATGTACATTTACTAAAATCAGAATCACGACATATAATTCAAATCAATGGTTTGGACTAAAGAGATAGCAAACAATGCCTACAGCTGACAGATATTGCCCAAATTACCATTTGATAACAGAAACCATTCAAAAACACAGCAATTGCCAAAATAAGATTGTACAGGAAATGTTGATACCCAATTTGTACAATGTTTACTCCTAAACATCTGGTAACAAGACCCTCTACTCCTCAGAACTGGGAAATAATAGCTATGAGCATATTTATAATATTTTTAGTCCTTTTATTCCACATTATACGATCGCAGATGAAGAGTGGGGATATACATACTTGACAAAGCTCAGCAATGATACAGCAAGCTGGAGACTCCATGCACATTTGATTCTTACATCTCTCTTCTCCCAAAGGAGAATGAGTTTTCGCTTCCTAATAGTATGTGTCAATAAATGAATCATCATGGACAAAATGGAATCAACTTTGAGAAATCAAATACATCTCAAATAGGCAAAATCAAAAGTGAACACAGTTGTCATGGCGTATGGCGAGAGCCATGGGGACAAGGCAGTTTTCCATGGCAATGGCGCATTTATGTTGTGGCCACATGATAAAAAAAATTACTGAAAATGGACAAGACACTAAACCTATGAATCAACCACCAAAGTTGAATACCCACATTCTACCGTAAACATGTGAAGTTAATTATATTTATTTGTTAACCAATTTGTTGGTTAACTATGTTTAACATACTTAAGTTGTTTGATATATGCAAAAACTACATTAAATATATTTGTATATTAATATATGTGTGTGTGTGACTGTGTGTGTAAACTTTTCAAAAAGATAAGTCTCCATTTGGGAACAAAATTAGTTTCAAAACAGTGAATTTTGGGGCCAAGGGAGGAGGTAATCATGAACTTGCAAAGATATTCTTCAAAGCTGATGAGTGTGTTCCATAAAGTTCATAGGTGTGAAGAAGGTTTGTGTGGCAAGCTAAAAGGCAAGTGAACATGTGAAATAACCATCAACGGGTAAAGAATATTCCTCAAAACTAATGCAGCCGAGGTGAAAAGGTCCCATCAACATCATAACATAAAATTCTTTAAGCTATTGAGGCTCTGTTTATTTCTTTTAGTAGTAAATATGAACTGCATATGAACCAGCAATCCAGTATAGACCAAATGAATGTCATAAAAACAATCACAGAGAATACATCACCTAAGAATTGTAATACCCACTGATTAATTTCTTATTAGGGTTTTATTACTGTTATGAACTGACTCATTAATTAATTAATCAGGGCCAAAGCCCAAAAATAACCAAGTAAATATGTTTAGATCTGATTAATATGGCGGCATGACGCACGTGGCGTGGCGATGGCACCAATATGGCGTCGCCTCATACATGGTCATTGCCAGGACTTTCCATAGCGAGGGGGGTTTTATCACCACATGGCAACTATGGAAGTAGAAATCATGGATATTCTTGAGTAAGACAACGAATATTTAACTTCAACTGGTAAGATAGAGAAAATGATAGAAAGGGAATTTTTAAAGCTTTCGGAAATGATCAGCATAAATGATACTTAGGAGACTACCTTCACAAAACTAGGAAGGGCATCTCCGATGACTTTTTTTACTCCGAAAGCACGACCACCCATTGTATAAACCAATGGAAGAAGTGCAACTTCATTAGCCCAGAATCCTATTATAATACTCAAGGCACTCCTTGAATAATTGATGAAATATGAAGCAGATGAGATATAAAAAAGCCACATAGTTGCTTAAATTACGCATATCATCATCAAATTCATAGTCATGCAAATTCATCTACGTATGGAGCAGAAAGAACCTCATCATACTTGCAGGTTCCGTATATTGAACAATAACTTTAAATGAAGGATCACTCCTAATCTTAGGTACAATGAATTCGGTCAGTTTGCGGCTAGCTAAAATCTTACATGTCTCCATTGGATAGGGGGCACCCTCCTCCTGTAAAAGAAAAGATGAATGTGGTAAGGAAAGAAAGATGCCTAAGTTACAGCTGTAGTTGGTGCACCAAGTAAAAATGAAATCCATAAATATTCATACCTTTAAAAGAACTCTAAGAAAGTCACGGTGTCCCCAAACCTTTTTTACTTTGTCAAAATGATCCAATGCAGGATTACTACAGGTGTGTTCTGAATTGACAAAAAGTGTACCAAGAAACTCATTTAAAAGTTGAACAGCTGCCTCATCTTTCAATACTTTATCAGTGAAAAACTCGAGGGAGGGACCCTGCACAAATGTATAAATGTGTAAACTTGATGGATGGATGGATGGATAAAATAAAATAAATAAATAAATAAATAAATAAATAAATAAATAAATAAATAAATAAATAAATAAATAAATAAATAAATAAATAAATAAATAAATAAATAAATAGATGAATAGCTGAATAGATGAATAGATGAATAGCTGAATAGCTGAATAGCTGAAGAGGTGAAGAGGTGAATAGGTGAATAAGTGAATAAGTGAATAAATGAATAAATACGCAAGTACGCACGAACGTAAGCACGTAAGTACCAATGTAAGGAAAAAAATGAATAAATAAATAAATAAATAAACAATTAAATTAATAAAAATTTAATACTTATATAGTTATGTATAAATAAATATGAAAAAATAAAGCAAGCAAGTCATCATTTTCATAGTGAAAATCGCGTCCAAAATTGCATGGGCTGACTGCTGCTTCATAACAAAGAAGCGCACAGACAGTTTAGTGAGCCATTTTGCTTTATTCCATCATATTTTCAAGCCAAAAAATAATGAATCTTTGGCTCCATTGCAAATGAAGTGAAAAAAAGCAAGCAAGCAAGAATAACAAAAGAAGTACTCACATAAACAAGTAGAGGAATCATATTTGCTTCACCACTCTCTGACTTGAATACTAAGAGCTAAAAAAATTAAAAGGTTAGGCAACCACACATAATTCACCAAAGATACAGCATGATACGTACTTAACAAATTCATTAAAAATTACAGTTCCAGATTCTTCATCAATAATTAAATAAATCACTCTGTCAAAAAAATTAAATAAGTTACATTGGCCCACAACAAGGAGTCAAACGACAGATTGGCACATCTGATTTAAATGGACCCTATTGAGTCGTCTCATGTGTTCCATTGATGGAAAAAATAAAATTTTTAAGGGAAGAGCAATTAGAAGATTTTGTAATACTTTACCTCAGAACAACTGTCAAGAGATGTCGTAGATTCACTATCACTGCCACTGTCAAGAGATGTCGTATATTCACTATCACAGCCGCTGTCAGGAGATGTAGATTCACAACCAGTATCACTGTCACACAACTCATCCGTATTCATTGGTTCAGGCAGATCCCCAATCACATCTTTTCCACTCCAAGAAGTGATCAAAATTATCAATGCCGCCCTAGAAAAAAAATTGGAATCTCAATGCTACAAATATCAACATTCATGAACATTTGACTGATTAACTTTTAAGCAGAGCTAAAGCTTGAATGGTGTTCTTGTAGCAACGATGAGAAAACGTAACTTGTCAAAAAATGCCCATACTTCAAGCTCAAGTATCAGAAATAAGCTTTCCTAAGAATAAAAATAAATTGATAAAGCTTCGCCGAAAAATAAAGCTTCACCATTTAGATTAGGTTCAAGCATGTGGACATGACATATGATAGGAGTCCATGTAGTATGGATGTGCTCACATGTAAAATAACAGTTAAGAAGGCCCAATCTCTTTTTGTGATTCAAGAATAGCATATCAAATATACAAATGCAAAAAGTCAATAAATCCAATGCAATCTGTTGCACAATGCCATGCCAAGTTGATCATAAATATGTCTCTCATTTGAGAGAGATGATCAATAGTTCATCACATAACAAATTAGACATCACTAGTGAATTATAGAGAAAGAACCTCATCATAGCAACAGGCTCTCTATCTCCTAATATAGGTTTGAAAGAGGCATTATTCTTGATACAAGACATTTGTTCTTCAATTTGTTGAGCCACTTGAACTTGCTTCGGATCGGTCTCAAGTGGGCATGGTAGCAAACACTGGGGAAAAAATGAGAACGTTCAATTGAGGGTGGTAACACTAGATAAAGTAATAGTTTGACGTATAAAACCTGATTCAATGCTCTACAGTGCTTTTGATTTTGCCAAATTTGCAATGATGCGAATTGTTTCCAGGCATCAAGATTGCAGATAACGTGTTCATTTCCATCGTTTTGGAGGGGTTCCAGGAGAACTTTTACCATCTGAATAAGATGCGGATCTACTGCTAGTTCTTGAGCCAGATTATTGATGGATGGATCCTACATTTAATGCAAATGGGAAAATATACACGTCCATGAGAGACTGATATATGTATTGAGAGCATCTTCATGCAACCATATTAATTGGCATGCATTATGAATGACAAGAAATTATCACTTAAGAATGTGGATTGTGGACTACAGGTTTTTTATATGGAGAATGGAAGGCTGAATACAATTTACTAGGACTAACAAACTAAATAGAAGCAAAGATAATCATAGTCGATGAAAGTAGTGAATAAAATAAAAGTTAGCTCAAAACAAGAAAGATAATATATGCGAGTGTTAATACCAGAAAAAGTCCCAGAGTATTGTGGCAATACCCAATTTAGTACTACACTATTAATTTGGTAGGCTTTGGTCCTCACTTTCAATTCATTACCAAGTTTAGTCCTTTAATTTTTTTATTCAAGAAAAAATGGCAAAAATGGTACATCTACACCGTTGAAAGACAAAAATATACTCCGTACATGATTAATTTTCACTTTTTTAAAAATTGCGATTAAATTTAATTTAATTAATATACAATATACTTTGAATTAATGGCATAAATAATACCCGTAAGGTTTTAAAGGGCAAAATTATGACCAACTTAAAATTTGACCAAAAAGTGAGTTGGCCTCTTCTAATAATCCTCCTGGGAAGGATTGAGGTGTCTTCTCCAGCTCTTCTTCGCTCGTCACTTCCTCGCACCAGGACGTCCATGGAGGCTATCAACAAGCTTCTCGCATAAGGTCGTCTCTGCTTCTCACCTTCATCATCGACCACGAGTCCACCACGCGACGTCATCGAAGCTGACGGAGACCACAAGTGTGACGCCATCGAAGAAGACGGAGATCACCGGTATGACGGCGACGGTCAGCGACGGAGACCATCTGCCACGGCGATGCCAGCTTTATCTTATTCTTCGCTGCTTCTCTTCACCGTCTCAATGCTTCAGATATGCAATCGAATTCAGATCTGTGATAGTTAATTGTCCTAAAATAGGTTTATAGGGGTGGAGTGGTGGCTGTTGGGGCTAAGGTGAGTTTCATAGGGGCTGGGGAGAGGAGGGCGGTGGTTCTTGGGGCGGATCCGGTTGTGGCCGGCGCTGGGCAGGTACACTGTACGCGGCAAGGCGGCACTGGTGAGCCGTGGAGGGGAGCAGGGTGTTGGTCGGAGATTTTGACGGAAATCAGTTGGAGCAATGGTGTTGGGTTTCGAGGTTAGGTGCTGGGGACTTATGATGGGGGGCCATGGCGGGTCTCAGGGTAGACTGGGCGGGTAATGAGGTTGTGTAGTCTAGCGGCGGCGTCAGTGTGGCCGGTGGTGGCTACAGTGACACGGGCGGTGGCTATAGTGACTCAGGCGGTGACTATACTGACATAGGTGGCGGCTTAGTGACACATGTGGTGGCTACAGTGACACGAACGGCGGCTACAGTGACATAAAATTTAATAGTGACATACAAATCTGGTAGACACTATGTTTTTCCAAATATATGATCTTCTTGATCACTTTTTTGCCCCTTTTTAAAAGTGGTTACTTTTTTAGTAATTGGTCAAAATTAGTAATATTCAAATAAAAACCCCATATACTTTTCTATTAATTATAATTCCCATGTTAACGCATGTAAGGCTTAAGCTTTCACTTTCCGGAACAAGGCTTACGCCCTTTGTTGACGACGCGGCGCATCTGGCGTAAATGCGCATGGTGTTCAAGAGGCGTACGCCTATTTTTTGACGCAACTTTGAGCTTTTTTTTAATTAGTGGGGGGCCTGGATTTATTTTTTACATCCTAAAATACAAATTACCTGGATCGTTTATCACTTAGCCACACAACCCTAGGTCCTCCTGTCTTCCCAATTCCAATCGCCGGTCCACTTAATACTACGATAGCAACGAACAAGAAACGGGAAGTTGAAGACGAGCTGCGCAGGACCTCAGCGGAGTCAGCGGCTCAGCCTTCTAAATATTAATTTATTTGTCAAAAAATTAATACTACGTACTTTAGTAGTTTACTTCACTCAAGCTTTTATCAGTTTTATGTTCTTGTCTTAGAATTTTAATCTTTTATGTTCTTTGAATTTTGACTTTGGTATTTCAGTTTTAAGTTATTTTGAGTTGAATATTTTAGGAGTAGTTATTTTCTTTTTACTTAGTGATTTTGTTTAGCTACACTATTGTTATGAATTATCTATACTTTCCAATATGCCATAGGTTTGTAGCAACACTTAACCAATTAAATTTGGGAAAATTACGAGAATATTAGTAAAACTCAATCAATTTCCCATAATATGACTAAAAAACTTAATCTACCAAAAGATGACTAAACCTCATCATACATGAGTACCGTTCTCTTAAATTCAAGACAAAATGACATGATTGTCCTCATGTGTCTATCCGCTGTGGTTACTCATTTGAGCATTTATTGCAGAAGAGATCAAAAGGAAACTCTCTCCTTCTACAGCCGTATATCAAAAGAGACAAGCAGTTTTTGAAAATAGAGTTTGAATCAAAAGAAAGAAAGCCATGGCAGAGAATGAGGATGGCGAAGCGGTGGAGAAAGGAGACTGGAGTTTTTGTGATGACGGAGCAATGGATGTAGTGAAAACGAAGGAGACCACTGCTTCAGTGGTGACAAAGCAGTCGATGCAGTGAGAATACCAATTTAAGGCATTATCAGTTTATAAGGGCATTAAAAAACTGCATAGTGGGCATTATTAAGGCATTTAATTTTTTGAATGAATCAAAAGGGGTAGGAAGTAGAAAGTGAAATGGTTGAGCAATAATTTAGTGTAGAACATGCAAAACTAAGAGATGGGCAGTAAGTTTATGCAGAACATGTAAAAACTAAGAGATGAATAGTAAGTTTATGTAGAACATGTAAAAACTAAGAGATGAGCAGTAAGTTTATGTAGAACATGTAAAAACTAAGAAATGGACAGTAAGTTTATGTAGAACATGTAAAAACTAAAAGATGGGCAGTAAGTTTATTATGCAATAATGTTGGTCATTAAACCAATTCAAATGACATCTTAGTTTTGTTAGGCAATAATTAACATGGGTAAGTTAAAAATAAGAGGAGCAGTAAGTTGGTTGATGAGTAACGTAGGCTGGTTAGTGAAATGATAAAAGAGCATTATGGTGGTTTAGTCGATTAGGGAATGATAAATAAGGATGCATCAACAAAGATGAAGGTATATAAAAAGATGAACGTCTAAAAGAAGAATACGAATTGCAAATAATGAAAGGAGTTACCTTGTATAAGTTAATTCCATATTTTTAGGAGATTCCATTAATATGTCGGTTACAAACTCTAATAACACGGTTACCACTTATTTAATCAATCCCCACCAGCCCGTGAGTGGTTTAGCCACTCCTGAATTTTAGGAGATATAATAGCTCATTCATTAATTGAAAAGAGGGCATTTGAGGAATTAAAATTAAAAAAAAAAACTGCATAGCCCTGAGCATGTGCAGGTAATACATAAGGAATAAAACTTCATTAAGTCATAGATCCGGAAAGACATGGACTTTTGGTCATAGGTCTGGTAATTTTCTCATTAAATTTCGGGGCTTACGCCTCGGAAGGCTACCCCTTACGCCTTGAGGCCCGATTTCGCCTTTCAAAACCTTGCTGGCTCCAGCCGCATCTGTCGGCAATCGTCGCCAGAAACCGCCAGTGTCAGTAAATATCACTCGGATATTTATATTCCAAAAACCACCGCTCGAAAAGTATCCTTAGTGAAAATTATTTCACAAGATCCTTTTTGAATTTTCACTGGGAAAAAAATTCAACTGTCGTAGTGACATGTTGGTTAGGAGATACTAGTAATTAATTGAACGAACCCACCTTGATTGGAAAAAAAATGTAATTTAATTTACTAAAAAAATAAACATTCTGATATACAAAATATTACTTAATTCAAAAAAAATATCTTATTATAGACTAAGACCTTAATCCATATAAGGCTCAAGGTGACGGTCCGGATTTTTTTGGGGTAAATAAAAAAAAAACAGAAATTTTTTCTGGCAGTGGCGGTTCCATAAACAACCGCCAACAGATGCAACTAGAGCACATTAGGGGTGGATTTGGTTTGGTACCCAAACCAAAAATGGGAAAATTCTGAACCAAATAGACTTTTCACTTTCTCAAATTCCGTAAACCGCAACCGAACCGAATATTACTGACCCAAGTTTTCGGAAACCGAATTTTCGGGTCGCTTTTTTGTTTGATGAAAACCCGAATGAATTTTGAAATATTGGACTAATGCAGAGCACTGAAGCATCCATGAATACTTATTATGACTCTCTTGAAGGAGAATATATATAGGCACAAATGAGGAGGAAATCCTCTGTTTTAATCGGTGTAGGAACTTTTCAAAAGTTTTAGAAAAATAAAATGAAAAGAACTGGTAGCAGGCGGGAATCAAACATAGGTGAAAACGTTGGTGCGTGCGCACAGAGCTCTATGCTAAACTACTGAACAGCATCAACAAGTTGTTAAAAGTAGGACTTATTTACATATAATACTTACTTTTGCTGCGGAATCAAGGTAGTCAAAGTCGTGCGCCTGAGCACTTAAGCGCACCAGGCGCAGCGCAATAGAGGTCCAACGCTCTAAAGATGACCAATCGCACCTTCCTCTCTCAGGCGCAGGTAAGGCGCACAAAGCACAAAAGAGGTTTTAAACGCTCGCTCATCGCGCCTGACAGGGGAGAGTTTATTTCTGGTTTTACTAAGGCAGTATCACATGTGCGGTCAAACAAGACCATTAAGAAGCACATATTTTTAATAAAGCCCATGTAAATAAGGTCAAAACAACGTAATCTATGCTAAACACATAATGTAAACCTTCTGCTCTGCTCTGCTGTTATCGGTTCACTACCACCTCCTGTCCCTCCACATCAACCGCAGAAGCTTGCAGCAGTGCAGCACTCAACGATCAAAGTAAGCTTTCTTCTTCATCATCTTCCATTTTATTTCTTTTTTCATTTTTCAGCAGCTACTTCTTACAT